GTATATTAATATTATATTAATAAATATTATAGATATTATATTAATAATATATTAATATTATATTAATATGATATAAATAATATATTAATAGATATTATTTATTAATAATATATTATTAATATAATATTTATTATATTATTTATTATTACTATAATATTTATTATATTACTATAATATATTATTTGTAACATCACTAAAGCGGTTTAATTGTAATTTTTGTGAATAACACTGAATTATTTTCAAAAAATTGAAAATACCAATTTTCTATTTTTAACAATTTTCCAAACTTTCCAAAACTTTATTTTCAATTTTCTAAAATAGAAAACAAAAACAACCTACCAAACATGTTTTTGCTTTTAATTTTCCAAAAAATTGAAAACAAAAATGGAAAACATAAAATAGAAAATGAAACAAGAAACAAACGACCCCTAAATATTTTTTGAATCACTACTAGATGTCAAGCTCTTAGGGTATACCATTTTTATATGCCATCTTTGTCAACTATGCATACAACATTGTGGAATTTGTAAGGTGTAGAGGCATAGTTGGTTGAATGAACAAAAGATGTGGTTGTTCAAAAGAACAACTTCCTACTTCTTCACCTTCATAGACAATATATTGAAGCTATGTGGATTTTCGAAGTTAGCCTTTGTCATGACTTGAAAGGTGGTTGATGACCATGTGTATCAGAGATATGAATAAGAGGTCATGGATTTTGGGTCTACTTTACCAATGTTCACAATTTTAGCAACACTTGCATTATTTACTCTATTTAGCATCATTGGGGGAATAAAAAAGGTTGCCTTGGATGATGTTCATATAAATGTTTTTGATCTATATGGTTTGTAGTTACTTCTTTATTGCCTTTTGGTTTTCATAAACCTGCTTATATACCAAAGGTTGTTCTTTTAGAAGGATAACAAGAAAATGCTTCCTTTTATAACATACCAGCCTTTGGCTTTTGCTCTTTTAGCTTGCTCAATAACAATAGCAATGTACTAAGTGTAAATATTAACCCAAGATTATTATGTGAAAATTAAAACACCATATATTAATTGAAGATATCAGGCATATCTATTTCAGTAGTCATCATGTAATCACAATAGTGAAACGATCTTGAAGTGGCTATGTTATTCTTTTTCGCTCTTTTCTCTTATAATGGTTTTTCAATGGATAGTTATCGAATAATGAAGTGAAGATGAGACCTTAGTCTTATATTTAAATAACCTTAGTAACCTTCCAATTAAAAGTTTATTGGACCAAAAGGTCTACACAACCGTTATATCGTACTAACCCAGTAAGATGTACAAAGCCTACACGTAGGTGATCATGACAAATTAATTAAGCTCTTATGCTTGTTTCGTATTAGAATTAAATCCATCAGTTAGCTTTAATAGCTCTCTTACAAAAAATTCTATCATTCTCCCATTTGGGCAATATTAATTGGATTATTTGATTTTAGGAAAATTTAACTTGAAAACAACATTCCAAGCTAATTTACTTTTCTTTGATGTGGTCATAATTTTAAAAATAATTTAGCCTTTGAGACAGCATCTTAACGATCCTATCGATAAAATCATCTAATACTAAATCATGGCAACCTTTATGCCCTTTATTAATATAAGATCAATATGTGGTTACAAGTACTAGAGACTCTATTGACAATGGATCTCAGTGTGATTGTGTAACAAGAAAATAACACCTAAATATGATCTCAATGTATCATTTTCATTGTCAATTCTCTTGTTAATTTTTCAAACTTATGGGAGATCTCTACGACAACCAAATGTGCCTATATGTCTTTTTAATATCCTTGGGGGTCACTTGCTAGTATCATTTATGAGACTTACCCAAAAACGTTAAAGTCATACTTAAGACAAATACTAAGTCTTATAACTTTATTGTGCATATAGCAAACTTTAATTTTCTAAGTGTACATGTATTAACATAATAAATAACAACATAAAATATTAACTAGTGATGATCATTATTCAAACATGAAATCAAATATCATATAGATATTCTAAACATAAAGAAAAAGGTCCAACATAAAGATAAACCATGATGTGTGAGTATGAAACACAACAATATACTCTTATTAATGAATTACATTAAAAGATCACAAAATACCCATGCTTTCAACATGTTTACTAAACATTATAGGTCTTAACCCTTTAGTTAAATTAAGGATCAACTATCATGTTGTCAGTCTCAATGTGTTCAATAACAACCTTACCATTAGTGTTTAGACCCACTAGTGTTTTTGTTACTTTTAGAAAACAATACAGGAGACTTATTATCGTAATATATTTTCAATCGTCTAAAGATGGAATCAACAATATAAAGACTTGAAATGAAA